AACCTTTCTCAGATTTGTTCATTTCGTGATATCTTCAATTCTCTAATTTTGGTGAATATTTTTGTCATTTTTGGTAGAAAGTGATATTTTCGACTTCTTGTTAAAAATTGTAAGTCCGATTGCTTTGATACTATACATATTGTTCATTTTCTAATGATGTCTTCAGTTCTTTAATTGAAATGTGCATTGCTAACAGCGGAGCTATCTCAGCCGATAGGCTGCTTGTTATCTTTTTCAAGTTGTAAAGTTGTAGTATTTAGTGGTCATACTGCTGTACTTTCCAAAGTAAGGGTTGTGTCAATAAATAAATAAAATCACGGTGACCGTGATGAAATGAAGGATACAGGTAATTGAAAAGCTAGCTGGATCTAATTCTTCGTTCATTTAGTGTAAAAACAAAAAGATGATATGAACTGGAACAAGTACAGTGTTTGACGCAACGCAACACAAGTGTGTACACAATGCGACGTGGTATACTTGAGCGACGTCGCCTGTCCCACTCTGTGGCGAGTTTGCAAATTTGTTCTCTCACTACTTCTGAAATTTGATGTAATTGAACATCGAGTTAAAACTTAACGTGGTTTTCACAAAAGTGGGCGTGGTTTCTAAAATATGGGCGTGGTCATTGTTTTCTTGATGTTTCGTATTAAAGTCGTATGACATACATCATTGACCTTTCACCCCTGATACAGAGTTCATTCTCGAAATCACCTGACTCACGCCCCTGCGCTCAAGTCATGATAGCGACTGGTCTTGCATGGGATGTGCTAGTGGGAGGAGTTGTCATAATGCATCCTGAAATTCTTATTGTACTTCTCTATTGAATCAATGTTCGACTATGATTGACTGTAATCATATTCTGACATCGCAGTGGTAGTACAGGAGGATACCGTACTTTACAACGCTGGACTTAATCGACTTCAAACCGACTTGTCGTTTTGGGGGGGAGTTGGTATTTCAAACATGGCAATGAAGTTAAAAACCAAAAAACGTTTGACCAATGTTACAACTGGTGTCTTTTTTCTGATGGGAGGAATTGAATACGGTGAGTACGAAGTCTCACTTTGTCCTGGCACTTTGTGTATGGTTATCTATCAAAGTTACCGGGTTTCCTTGTTTGTGGTACGACTCATGGTTACTCGAATCGGGGGTTATATAGGGTTAGGGTGTACCTAGCTGCAGTTCTGTAGCTCTTTTCGTTTCACTGAAGTTAGTTGTTTATTGCTGGCAGTGCTATTACAGTACTGTAACTCCTCGGAGAAAGACCCCGCCCCCATATCGCGACCACTATACGACAGACGAAATAACCGGCAATAAATATACCTTGAAGATACTAACGGTACTGTCTAGTATAAATCCCCTGATTAAAAATTGCGAGAATTATTGAAGTTATTGTTTTTATATTTCTTTAGTCTTTATTTTTTTTTAATTTTACTGTTTGTTTTTATTACATTTGTTTATTTATGTATTGTTATTCTCTTTACATTACTAAATCCTCTGATGATTTAGTTGTGTAATAAAGTTATTATTAATAAACCCGTGGAGCTAAATATAATTTTACCCTCCATGGGTTACCTAAATTACCGGTAACAGGGTTAGAGTTGTGGGGTTTAGTGTATATTAACTCTGAGTCCACAATCCTAACTTATATTATATCGTAACCCTATATCTTAACTCCCAATTTGATCATCCATAGTTAATGAGTGCATGACCTGCTTGTATATATTATTATTCTCACATGTGGATGTGACGTCTGGGGTGCTGAGTTTTCGACCAAATCACCAGTTGAAGAAGTTAATGTTGGATTCTGTCATTATGTTCTAGGGGTATCTCGAAAAATACCAATCATGGAGCTCTATAGTGAGCTAAGCATATATTCCCTTGATGTTTTCATCAAACAACTGTAAATTATTAATGAGACTGTGACTTTCACATTTAACAAAAACCTTCAAAGCAAATTTTTTCCTGAAATTATATGCTTCCTAAATAGAATTGAGCAAAATACTGTTACTTACATGCATAAACATTGATTACAAAATATTTTTGGCATATCCCTACTTGTGACAAATTTAAAAATTTAATGACATTCAACTCTGTAATAGTGCTTATAAATCTTGGAAAATATATTTATACAAGGCCAACTAAATAAGGGAGAACGTCCTCACAAGGAAATCATGAAATTAGTATATGTACTCTGTGTTGTATATTATTATATGTTATAGTCATATGGGCCTGTGGCCTGGAAAGACATTAATAAAAGGTCATTATTTCTTTCATAACACTCTTTCAACAACTCAAATTGACCAAATCAAATTCAACATCAGCAAACTAATATTGTCTTATTGGAAAATTGAAATTAACAATGACAGATGATAGGTCTTGGTTTAAATTATCTTTGGTACATACATAACGCACAAAAAAACATGTGATTTGAACTTATTATATTTTATTTACTTTTTTAAGTGCATAGTGGAGACAGAATACTTCAATGTCTTTATGGCAATCAAATGCAAATTTATCTTCCAATAAATGAAAAATACATCTCGCCAGAAGTGTTCAATGCGCTGGTTATATACACTTTTACCAGATATAGAACTGCCCTTTCCCTGCCCTATCTCTGGATGAAACCACAACAATTTCCCGTTCCTTGTCAGCTCTCACCGGAGATAGCACACCATATAGTTCTGTGGGAGTATTGAAACCATTTTATTCTAACTTCCACCTAAG